CCACATTTTCTTCCTTACAACCTTATCAAATGCTTTCTCAAGATCCACAAAAGCACAGAAAATCTTCTGGTTAACAGCCAGAAGCTTTTCCGTGATCATACGGAGAGAAAACATTTGATCCGTGCATCCTCTTCCAGGTCTAAATCCGCATTGTGCCTCCCATAGAAATCTTTCCGATTTCTCTTGCATCCTACGTGTCAAAACCTTCGAGTAAACTTTACTTGCTAAACTGGTCAAGCTGATCGCCCGATAGCACCCGCAGTCAAAATGTGAACCTTTACCTTTATATAAAGGCACAATGACTGCGGATCGCCAATCATCCGGGACATCCCCCGTCCGCCAGCACAAATTGCACAGCAGATGAAAGCTGTCCCAGACGCGAGGCCCACCATACTTGACCATTTCAGCAGTAACTCTGTCTAGTCCCGCAGCCTTACCACATTTCAAACTTCGAATCGCACGTTCAATCTCTTTCATACTGATGACCTCAGTGTCATCGAGGTCCGGGTCTGGCGTGCCAGTCACGGCGTCATCCCCGGATCCCTCACTAAGATCATCACACGCATACATTTCTCTATAAAATTCGCTCCATCGCTGCATGACGTCCGATTTTTCTGAGAGGACGTCATTAGTTCTCGAAAGCACTTTGTTCATTCTTAAGGCCGTCGCACCACTTCGGGTCCTTCCAACCTCTTTCCAGAAGAGTTTGGAGTTCTCCTTAAAGTTGTGCGACAACCTTTCATCCGCTTCCATTCTACACCTTTCACGCACTTCCTCAATCAATGCTTTCGTGTGAACTTTCTGCAGCTTATATCTTTCTTTCATCTTCTCTCTCATATCCTTATCATTACTAGAGGCCAAGTAGTCTAAACATGCTTTCTTCTTCTTCTTTACAGCTTCTTTCACTTCATCATTCCACCATGCATCTCTTCTTTTACTACTGCCTCTTTTTATTGTTCCACACACTTCTTCCGCTGCACTTACCATTCCATCCCTAAGGTTCTGCCATGTTCTTTCTACACATTCGTTTCTGCCATCGATGGTGTCAAGCTTTTCGGCTACCCTCCCTAGTATCCGCTTCCTGAAGCTTCCAGCTTCGGATGCGACAGACCGACTGTGGTTCTGTCACTGTCGTCCGGTAGCGCCAACCCGCGAACAGACCCCTAAATCTAGTAATCACTAGATAGTGATCCGTTCCCAGGTCAGCACCCCTGAACACTCGCGTATCCATAACCTGTTTTCGCAGTCGGTCATCCACCAGGAACAAATCGATCATACTTCTCTCATTCTTTCTTTCTCTAGTATACATATGGATTTTCTTGTGATTAAACATAGTATTTGTCACAAGAAGACCCTTTTCCTTGCATACCGCCAGTATAAGCTTGCCAGCATCATTAACCTTTTTATCGCCAAACTTTCCAAGTACCGACTCGTACCCTGGTCGAGCGGTACCAACCCATCCATTCAAATCACCACATACAACAATCCTTTCGTTTCCCCTAGCCAAATCTAGAACTTCTCTTACATTCTCCCAAAACTCCTCCAGCTCAGCCCTGGACGACGAAGCCACCGGCGCATAAACAGCCAAAAGGAATAACTTCGTCAGTCCCAATTTAAAGCGAACCCAGAGAAGTCTTGAGTTCACAAACTTATATTCAGTCATAACATCGACCAACCGAGAAGACAGCAGCACCCCCACTCCCTGGCAGGCGTTCTCGCTCTCTGGGACTCCGGACCATAGAGCAAACGCCCCGCCAGGGAGCTCTTCAGTACCACTGCCCTTCCGTTTGGTCTCCGACATACACACGACATCTAATTCTCTTTCTTTCATTATTTCGATCAACTCATTCGTCTTATCTCTCATGCCTCCTCTAACATTCCACGTGCCAACTCTGCACTCCGTCCTCCACCTTCCGCCGTGTCGGGCTGTGCGTGACGGGTGGCGGTCCCCATCGCCGCTTTGCGCGCTGCATTCCACACCAACGGGGACGAGCTGGTGTGCGTCGCCTTGGGGGACGCCCTAACCCTCGTTGACATGGGTGCGCAGCTGAGTAGAATTGCAGCCCTGAAAAGGGCTGGCAGGGGTCGCGACGAGCACGCTTCTACAATGACCCCCAAAATGCATAAAGTCTAGATAATATTTTTTTATATATTTCACTAAATGCAATGATAATCGAATATATTAAGTGTTGTTTTTATTACAAATATGAAAAACCTTTTAATTCTTTACTCATGACCTATATTTTTTTAATTTTTGTATGAAACTGTGAAATTTTATACGTGGTAGAGCCATGCTACAGCTACATTAATAGTACAGTTGTAGCAAGAATGGGTCGGCTCGACCGGGGAAGGACCACGCTCTCACAAGAATACCAGCGTAAAATAGCAGCTTAATGCTGCTGTGTTTTGTTTGGTGAGTGTAGAGAACCAGAGACCTTTTTTACTCTAAAAGAGGTATTCCATCAGAGTCCTCACAGCTGACAACGCATCTGCATTTTATTCGCAAACGAGGATAGATGTAGATGTCTATGAGCCACAGCAACCACTTACCATCGGGTGGACTGTGTGCTCATTTGTCACCTTATCCTATAAAAAATGAAACTATCGTCTAAATATATCGCAGGGTATAGGTACCTCATTATATTATTCCACTAAAGTAACTACAGTTTTTATGTGTATTTCTTACTACCTTCTATTTCTGTTTGAATTTGACGTAAATTTATAAACTGAGTTGATTTTAAGACTAAGAACTTACGTAACGATACTCGCCCGAGCCCGTGCCAAAACTCAGGAGACCGAAGTTTTGTGCGGATTCCTGCCCGCCGCGCCGCCGCAAAGGCAAACTTGACGGTACATGTTTGGAAGTCGGGCGGGCGCAAGGTGCAACAACGGCAGCCGCAATCACACGCGCCACGAACACCAAATCGCGTCTCGAAATTTACTATACCTATTGAATAAAACTACATTTCAGTTCAAAAGTCCACTGAAATGAAGATGAGCAGCAGCATCTTCTTGATAACAACTCAAAATAACAAAAAACTACGGTTGCCAAGCCGCTTGCCAAGTATGGCAACTATGGCAAAATCTTACCCATAGGCAATCTACGGTAAGACCTATATTCAGCAGTGGACCTTTATAGGCAGTAATAGATTGATGAAAGTCCACTGCTACACACTGTCCTCATTGGGCCTCAATGCCTAGGGTCATATTTGCCATAGTTGCTAAACTTGGCAAGCGGGTTGGAATCCATAGTTTCAATTAATTCGAGTTGTTCTATTTCAGTTTCTTTTGTCGCCTCCAAAGAGATTTAAGTATATATAGTATATATAGTACATGAGGGTAATATGCTCATCAGGTTAATATGGCCACATTCTTATAACTCAAAAACTACCGCCTTATTTGCATAGATGGTTCTGTGATACGTTAGCTCTTCATCAGTCATTGTCTTTATCGACGCCATTTTGACAGTTGACATTTTCGTAAATATTTTAGTCCATTTTAATATTGTGAAGTGTAGTTAGTTTTTTTTTAAGTTGATTTTTAGAAGTGTTCCTAATTATTACTAAAGCTAGTTTGCTATTTTTTTCTTTATATATTAGTTAAAGAATACAACTTTGTGTTTTTGTCTCTGTTCTCCTCCTAGTTTTGGTTTTATAGAGCGGTAAATCTTAAGTCGACTCTTACGACACCCACGGGATAATATGGAGTAGTGTATTCTCTTACCTGCAACCACACCGCAACTACAATGCGCATGGTACACGGCACAGGTGCAAGTTATTATAAAATGTATATAGTTATAACCTGTCGGAAATATCTGCGAACCTGGCTTGATGACGTCATGCAATATGGAGAGATGGCAACGGTACTGGATAGACGATAACGGGCAGAAATATCTGCGAACCTGGCTTGATGACGTCATGCAATATGGAGAGATGGCAACGGTACTGGATAGACGATAACGGGCGGAGGTGCGGGGAAGCGCGAGGGGAAGCGCATTCCAGCGAGGTTCGCAGATATTTCCGACAGGTTATACCTACGCGTTATTGGAACTAAACAAAAGTGCATAGCAAACTGCATAAAGTTGTGAACACTGTAATTTACTTGGGCCTATGCAGCGTAATTGGGTGCTCGTAGAACCTTATCTCCACTCACTATACTTCGGAAAAGTGTTCATAACAAAATATCGTGTTTCCCAATTCTGAGTATTCAAAAATATAAGATTTTTGTGTATTTTGTGTACATATTTGTTAAATTGCAATATTTTCATAAATATATAAAATTCTTGTAAAAAATTAAGTCGAATTATGTAGTAACTTAAATTTTCTAACGAATCACTAAATTTTCTTTTATCATGCAGTAATTAGAAAGTGCAACGCAAAGGAAATTCTTAGATTTTAATAAATATTTGTTGACTACTTATAATTTAATTTGTCAGATCTAAAGCGATTTATAATTTATACTCGTAGATCTTGCTATTCCGTAGCACTTATAGGTACAACGAAATAAGAGACTGGTCAAAATATTTGGCACCTGATATTGCGATATTTTCAAAATGTATTTTCACCCTTTTGATAATATAACCTTGTAAATATATTAATTGAAATTAGTGTAAATAGATTCTGCAGTAAAAAAAGCGTACTAACATCGTTTTTTTGTTCTAAATATAATACCGACGGACCCTTCGGAGCATCAGAATAAGGTGATCTTACCTAAATTTTTTTTACAAGTTCTGTTTCTTCCAAAACATCAAAAGCTTCTTACGGAAGTTATATAGGGGTTTGACAGGCGGACGGGCGGATTTGTTCATGTTAATTGCTTATAAAATAAAAATAGTGCACTCAAAATTATGTAATTAAACATTTTATTCCATTATGACGTCACAGTAAGACCCGAAATTGTTTATGGGTCATAGAGAAATCAATGATCAGAGAAGAAAAAGATTCGAATAATAACATAAAGTGGGTGCAGTGTTGAGTTAGTATACCTATGTGGGTTGGCAGGCGCGAGCCGCACGACGAACGGCCGGTCAGTGCGCTCTCGACCCGTCAACCCCTCGCACAGCGGGGACTCTGTGGCTGAAACGGCGCTCTCCAAAAGAAACTCTGACGGTAAGAAACAAACGGGCTCCAACTTACATTATTAAAAATAACTGTCGCCCCAATCAAAACAAACATTGTCCGTTAATGACACACTTACAAGTCACTTTGGTTCAGTTTACTCGTACATTTTCCAAAGTATACTTATTACGCACGTTATTTGGACACATTATATATAATACATTCGTTCACGTTCATTTTATAAGATGATATCTAGCAAGATAATACAAGTTATTTATAAAACATATTTTTCTCGTTTCAGATTTTACCGCCATAAATATTTCTCGCGTAAGAAATAAGAATATTACATTAGTAATGTTATTTGGCATATCCTCAAATGTTTACACCGATTTCATTTGATCTGAAACCAATCCGGTTTTACTCGAATGTATTATATGATACATTAAAATCGAGGTTTAAATCTAATTGCATAAAGTAAACCCATGCAAGCTTTTAAAAAATTAAGTAAAAAAATTATAATATTTCAAATTTAGAACCTGTTCTAGCTCAACTTCAATTGATGCTAATAATAATTTTCAATGTATTTAAAACATTGTGAGCTTAAGGCAATCTTGTAGTACGGTATGTAGGTATGTAAATGTAAGGCCGGCTATACATGTTGGCCGAGTTTCAGCCAACGCGCCTTCGCTCCTCGCAATGGTCGAGCGAATTAGTACTGAATAGGGAAAAATTAAAAAAATATTACATCCAACCTCACAAATGTAAAAGTGTCAAATAAAAAAAAATTGCAAAATGTCTTATCAACATGACTTAGAAAATTATAAACTTTTTCATTAGGTATAAGTTTTACAAGGTTACATTATGGAATTTCTGAAAGGTACACGTTTTAATAGCGATTTAGAGTCATATTGATGATTTCCTTTTATCGAGCCAATTAATACTATTCGTTTTTCTGTCTTCACACTACCCTTGTTCATATGTTAAGTTTTATAAAATAATTTTGTTTTTGTGCCACAATTATATCTAAATAGATTTATATAGGTTCGAAAAAATTAAATCTCGCCATGACATGTCTCACTGTAAAGTCTGTAGGAAGTTCTGTAGAGTCGTCTTAACACGCCTAAATTACAAATATTATTCTACAAAGCAAAGTATAAATGGAAATACACTGTGTGAACTGCAATCTTTTTTGACGTATTAAATTATCATTTATTTTTTATTGCTTATTTTTTGAGTCTTGTTCCATTACGAATGTCCTGGCTTTTTAGCCAGTATAACAAAGTGTTGCTCTCGGTCTGCTTATGTTTCCATATTAGTTCACGGAGACAACCAAAGGTTACGTTAAATTTTTTTATTCGTATTTCCATAATCGAGTACCGTTAATGATCCGATAGCTTAAGAAGTGTTACTTTTTTTTATAAAGGATAAAGGTGACAATCAAGCACACAGTCCACCTGATGGCAAATGGTTGCTGTGGCCCTTAGACATCTACATCTATCCTCGATTACGAATCAAAATGCTGATGCGTTGCCACTCGTGAGGACTGAGATGGAATGCCGCGTTTCCAGTGAAATGGGTCTCCGGTTTTCTACACTCACTATACGAAACACAGCGGGATTTAGCTGCTATTTTACAATGGTATTCTGTGAGAGCGTGGTCCTTCCCCGGTCGAGCCGACCCATTCGTGCTACAACTATGCCACTAATATAGCTGCAGCATGGCTCTACCACGTGAACGTCACTTTAGAGCTTAGAATTACTAAGCAGGCGTATTTCTAAGAAATAATTATAGTCAGTTTAATCTTTTATACTTGTCCGATGTAACCTACATACACCACCTACAAACCTACATAGATCGCATATGATAAGCGCCTTGTTACTCGGTACGAAAACTATTTTAAGGAGTTGTTTTTTATATTTTTGTTTTCTACATATATGGTTGTTATGAACAACAATTGAAATTAGTTCTCACAGAATACCAGCGTAAAATAGCAGCTTAATGCTGCTGCGTTTCATATGGTGAGTGTAGAGAACCGGAGACCCTTTTTACATGAAACGAGGCATTCCATTTTAGTCCTCAGGGGTGACAACGCATCTGCATCTTGATTCGTAATCGAGGATAGATGTAGATGTCTATGGTCCATAGCAACCACTTACCAACAGGTGGACTGTGTGCTTGATTGTCACCTTTATCCTTTATAAAAAAAAGTAACACTTCTTAAGCTATCAGATCATTAACGGTATGTAGTGACATATATATAACTACTAATGACACGTATATGTAATGACAATTAATATAGCTGCATCATGGCATGGTATAACCAAATTATTATTAACCTTTTGAGTTATGACAGTTTCATGGTAACAACTAGAATGTCGACTAAATATTTATATTTAAATCTTATTCCCCTATTTTTTGATGGATTTAGAAAAAATAGTGCATATCATCCTAATTTATATACTGTGCCCAGATGACTTGACTGTCGTCTACACACCGACACATGTGTACGTTTATAAAGTTAATAGGTATGTCAGTTTGCCTATTTTGTAGGCTGTGTGGTGATGCCGTCTCTACAAGTCCTTGTATTAAGAGGCGTTGCGTTATAGCGTTCCACCCGACTCTGGTGATCTACATTTGTAACATCAACCTAAAAGAGTATTTCCTGAATTTCCACAGAGTACAATAGGCATTAATGATAATGAAGCCATCAAAAGTTTTGTGACAAAAAATTCTTAAATGTCCAGTTTTTAGAATTCATTACTATTTTATACGAATTAATCTTACTGTTTATTATAATCGTCATTGGAAGATTACTCATATGTTGTGAAGTTTTAAAGAAATAATATATTTAGGTAAAACATATAAATTTTATTATACAACAATATATTTTGGAGTGTTTTTTAAGCAACAGCTACCTAAGTATTTGATTAAAATATTGTGAATAATTCGCAATAGTACAAAGTATTCATCATCATCATCATCATCATTACAACCCACGTCAAGTTCACTGCTGAACATAGGCCTCCTCCAGGATATGATGATGATGATGATGAGGATAATTACCATAAATCACGATCCTGAGCCACCTACATCCATCGATTTTCTGCATCCCTTACCAAATTGTCACTTTATCTGGGGACAAATTACACATTTATCGGTACTAGGCTGCCAATCTAGAACTTTTTCTTCATTAAGATCGCTAAGCAATCTTGAGCTTCCTCATACAGCCAGATCTATATGTCTATGTGTTTGTATTTTCTCAAATCCATAATATGTCATCACTGGCAAACGCACTGTTTTTACACATTTCTTTTCAAGTTTTGAGATATATGTGATGAGAAGATATGTCTTAATCTTGCAATCGTTGTAATTCGGGACACTATTATGGATTTTAACATGACCACTAGGATTTATGAGATATGGTTAATTTCAAAGAAAGCTTTTTTTGTTTATCATTCCGAAATATTCGCATTAACGTAATTGACTGAAAATTTGGCAACGAATTAGATTTTCATTTTAGGTAGAGACACATAAGTTTCCTTAATTACTTTTACAATTAAAATTTAAAACTTGCTTGAAAGAGAAATTAATTATTAATATTGTACTGGTACATTGAAAGTCATATAAGATTTAAGAATTAGTGACGTCATTGTGACGTCATTGAATGCCAAAGCGTGACCCGCTTTATATTTTATGCTTTACTTTATTATTTGTAGCAACCATGATCATCGAGTAATGATAAATTATAATTAAACGCGATCAAATATGTATGATTTTTTTTTAATGATCTGTATTCGCGTCTAAAAGAAAAGACTTATTCCGCGTATATATAAGAAAACATATTCTACAAAGATTTTCCCGCCTTTGTGATTCTATTCGATTACGCATGGGTGGAATGAGAGCGGTACTCATAGACAACAAAAATAACAAAACAAGTCCTTGTATTAAGAGGCGTTGCGTTATAGCGTTCCACCCGACTCTGATGACGTAGTCATAGTCGTAGTCTATATAATATAGCTAGGTAAGTAGTATGCAACCCATAGAGTTTGCAATTAATGCAACTGGCTGAGCCGCTAATGTTAATTGCAGTTCAATTATTTTTCTGCGGATACGAAAGTATGAATAGATAAACATTTGGACATCCATTAAATAAATTAATCAATAAAACACAAAGACATCAAAATGTCTAAATCGCTTTCTCTGTTCCTGTACTTCAATACGATTTTTACAAGCGCAGTCCTATTAGCATTCGCTTATAGTAGTAACATTTTTGCATCTAAGAGTATATCATACTATGTCGAGTTACTTGGGTGGGATTCAAGAACACTGTATCAATATATTTTCTTGCTAGTTTGTCGTATAGTATAGGCACTTTATTATAAACTTTTAGTACCATTAACAAATTAATTTTTCAAAATTTTATAAGTTAAAAAGTTTATAATTTAATTTCTAAATGTTTCATATGTGATAGACCCTTGCTGTGGCTATATTATAGTTGTAGCACAAATGGGTCAGCTTGACCAGCGTGAAACAACAGTTAATACTGTGTTTCGTATGGTGAGTATAGAGAACCGGAGACCTTTTTTACTGGAAACGAGGCATTCCATCTTAGTCCTCAGAGGTAACAACGCATCTGCGTTTTTATTCTCTATCGAGGATAGATGTAGATTTCGATGGGTCACAGCATCCACTTACTATCAGGTGGATCATCTCATCAAAACTACTTTGAAAAAAGACTAACTGTCTAGACTTAAATTAAAATATAATCTTAGATCTTACCAATAAAGTACTTTTAAAAATTCATTTTAAGCTAGATGGTAGTAAAAATGTTTGACTATATGCTGATACTTAGCCAACACTTTTGAACTAACCTTGAGCCACATTTAACGAAAAATAAATAGAAATGACTAGTGTAAATGGTAGGCTATTCAACCATATCCCATGTCAAGTTGAAATAAAATTTTCAATATTGACGGAATAGTAAGTTCAAAAACAATATCAATTCGATCCCGCGGTTGTAATTTAGGCTCTGTCTTTTTTTCAATTTCATTAAGTGCCTTTACAAATGTGCACTTATACAAATAGCAGGGTTTATGATCCATTCCAAAATCGTTAGGACATTACTGAATTTATTAATTGGCTAAAAAGGTCCTTTATCCACAAAAATCTTCAATTATTATTTATTTATCCGTTTCTTCACGTTTTCAGATTCGGGTGTTTTATAATTAAAGCAATTTTTCACTGACTCGAACAATTAGGATGGATCTTGTTTATATTAGTATTTATTTCCCGAGGATGAAATATTTTCATGTTTCTATTGTTTGTCTTGAACGTTGTCTTTGTGTGTATATAAATTTCCGCGTCTACGGGTGCCTCTATAGGTTCCATAGCGGTAATGCCGACACAGACCAACTCATCAACCACGTCAAAATGGCTGAAGACTCCGTGCTTCAATAGGTCCCATCGTGCAGAGATCGTGATGTTCGGTGATTTTAACGCCCACCACGCTGAATGGGCTGGTTCTCATTTAACCGATCATGCGGGTAGATCTGTTTATGACTTTACCTTGGCATATGGTCTAACACAACTGGTTACTTCGCCTACGCGGATTCCAAATATGAAGGATCATATACCTTCCCTGTTGGACCTTCTGCTGACCTCTCTTCCGGACGGATATCAGGTCTCCGTCGATGCCCCTCTTTGCTCTTCGGAACATTGTCTAATCCAGAGTGTGGTACCACTCACGCTCCCAACGCAGTTGCGATCTGCAGCTTGTCGCCGTGTTTGGTCAGCCGATTGCGACGAGGTGCAGTCTTTTTTTTCCTACCCTTGGAAGCGGGTTTGCTTCTCACCGTTGTTGCTGATTCTGTCACTGATGTGGTACTTCGGGGAATAGAATTATTTATTTCATCATCTGTGGTGCCTATCAGAGCCAGAACTCAGCCATGGTTTGGTCGCTCCTGTAAAATTACATCACGCTATAAGCAGGAGTGCTACCGGGCCTAGGCTGACGCGACAACGTCTCGGGTTGTAAACACCAGCGCTCTTAAAAAGAAACATAATTCCGCCTCCCGGTTCTTCAAAAGTGTCATTGCCAAGGCAAAGTCAAAGCACATCGGCAGAATTGGCGAGAAACTAGTTCGCCTCCTTTCGGAAACACGTGCATTCTGGTCTCTCGCCAAGGCTGTCCAAGGGAACTTATGTCAGCCATCACTGCCATCTTTGCACAGGTTGGACACCTCACTGGCCCATGGTGCAAAGGAGAAAGCCGATCTGCGAGGCTCTCTCTTTGCTTTCAACTAGACTCTCGAAGACGGGGGAATACACCGCCGACCTTCATGCGGTGTGAATACTTCGTGCAGGAAGTGCTGATTACACAGCGCTCGGTGCGCAAAGCACTCCTCTCTCTGGACGTCAACAAGTCGAGTGGGCCTGATGGAGTCCCACATATTGTGCTGAAGATATGTGCTCTAGAGTTGACACTGTTTTAACGCGTCTTACACGCGAAAGCGGTCAGTGTACTCCAAGGATACATTCCGGAAAGTAAGAGCCAAGGTGAGCTCCTTTTAGCGGTAAAAAGACCCGCTTGTGTTTTGGAGGCATTAAATCTCACGAGATTGGCTTCGTCCCATTCGGAGAGTGCTTTTAGTGTGAAACTCACACGCTCAACCATAGCCTCTCTTTCTGACTGGATTTGATCCCGACTGGCCCGGGCACTTGGTTGATATCTCTCCACAACTGTGCTGTCGTCTGCATATCCATAGATACCGGGAATGAGCAGATCATTTATATGCAGCAGGAAGAGAGTTGCGGAGAGAACGGACCCCTGAGGAACACCGGCGTTAGTCGACACAGTACCGGATGAGCAGCCATCGACGACGACCTGGAGAGATCGTTCACTCAAAAAGTCATTCACCCAGGCAATCAGGCCAGGGGATAAGCCGTACGCTGAAAGCTTGCCCAATAGACTAGCGTGCCAAACCCTGTCAAAGGCCTTCGAAACATCGAGGGAAACAGCAAGTTCTTCACCACTCTTCTCGAGGGCTTCGCCCCATATGTGAGGGGCAAACGCTAGAAGGTCCCCAGTTGATCGTTTTCGGTGAAACCCGTACTGGCAATCACTGAGGAGATCATTTTGCTCTAGGTATGCCATGAGGTGGGCGTTCAATATACGCTCCATAATCTTGGAGAGTATGGAGGTAATTGAATTTGGCCGTTAGTTGGCAGGGTCGGTACGGCTACCTTTCTTTCGAAGCTGCCTCCCTATGGGCTTCCCGAGAATTTGTGCAAATGAATAACCAGTTTTCTTGCAGATCGCAGCATCGAGGTCGTAGTAGATGGTGCATGCTCCGATTACAAGTCCATTAACGCTGGTGTTCCACAAGGCTGCGTGCTATCACCAACACTGTTTTTTCTGCATATCAATGATATGTTGCAAACTTGTAAAATTCATTGTTATGCAGACGACAACACTAGTGATGCTTTATACACCGGACATACCAATATTTCTTGGGAAAACGTCGCCGAGTACCGGAACAAACTTGTGTCTGAAGTCGAGACTTTGTTGAACAAAGTCTCGGACTGGAGGCGACTAAATCTAGTCCAGTTCAATCTTTAGAAGACACAAGTTTATGCGATTACCGCTAAGAAGAACCCTTATGTCGTATCTCCTCAGTTTCAAGCCACTCCCCTTGTTGCCTCAGCCAGTATCGGAATCCTCGGTGTCGACATATAGAGTGATGTGCACTTTCGAGGTCACTTAGAAGAGAAGGTCAAATTGACTTCTAAAAAGATTGGCGTGCTCAATAGAGAGGGACTGTATTTCATGCCGGCACACCGCTTGCAACTTTACAAGGCGCAGGTTCGGCCCCACATGGAATACTGTTCCCATCTCTGGGCAGGGGCTCCCCAGTGCCAGCTCCTTACACTTGACCGCATCCAGAGCAGAGTGGTTCGAGTCATCGATAACCGAGTTCTTTTCGATCGGCTTAACTCACTGGCACTGCGTAGAGACGTTGCATCTCTTTGCATATTTTATCGCATCTACCACGGGTAGTGCTCTGAGAAATCGTTCGGACTAATTCCAGTCGCTCAATTTCACCATCGCACATCGCGACCAAACTCGCGATACCATCCTTACCATCTGGATGATTGGCGGTCCACCACTGTGCGTTTTAAAAGAAGTTTTCTTCCTCGCACAACTTCCTTGTGAAATCGATTATCACCAGCGATTTTTCCGGCCCGATACGGCTTAGGGACCTTCAAGAAAAGAGCCTACTCCTTTTTAAAAGGCCGGCAACGCATCTTCAATTCTCCTGATGTTGCAGTTGTTCATGGGCGGCGGTAGTCACATACCATCATGTGAGCCGCAAGCTCGTTTGCCCCCTCTCCTATCAAAACAAAATTAGACCGAAGGAAAGTACTACATATATGTGTACTATATTATGTATACTCATTCATTTATTACTAAAATATCAATTATTATTTTGTTTTTACTTTGCTCAATATGATTACTTAACATCTAATACTAGACAATTTTCACGAACTTTATTTTTTCAACCAAAAATTTGGCACTATTACCCTCTGATAATATGCTCTCGGTGGGCGGATGAATCAACAAAATAATATATGTATTAGGTAGTTCCCCTCGACACTGCTGGTACTAATTATGAAGTTCCTGTTATCAGGTAAGTTAGACGCTGCTATCAATACCAATGGACCTCTACTTCTTAACTAGCTTCAATAAAAGAGATTCTGTATTCAATGTGTATGTAAGTGTCGTACTAGTAACTGATGAACCTTCATTTCTGTTAAGTAATCTACCTATATTAAGACACGCTTTGGTGTATAACTCATAAGAATATTAATATTTCTTCTAAATTTCGGTATTGAAGTTTATTTTGTGGAATCCTTATTTAAAAGTGTTTAAATAATATGTTAGGAAATTGATAAATGGCATTATAGTAATTATGATTCTAACTGATATTAATTTGTACTAAGAAAAATATTTCCCGTGAAAATGTTAAAAAATATATAGTTATTCTCATCGTCAATCAAACAACATTTAAAAAAAATCCCTAATTAAATAAATAATTTAATATTAACTTAAAATTAGGTTAAGTACCAACATATATATGTACATTATGCTTCTTTAAGTTAAATGTGTCTTAAAGAAGCATGTACATATAAGCTTTAAGAGCTTGTAAAAAGCTGTGACGCTATAAAATTTAGACACGGTCATTGCCTTAAATGACGCGCGCAGCGTCACGGCGTATCGTAAACATCGCGTTCCAAACGCAAAGGTAGCGGGCAAATTGAAGATCTCACGGAAACCCTTGCCTTAACATTTATTTGTTAAATAATTAAAACTTAAATAATTAAAACTATTTAATAAATTCAGTTACTTTTCTCTCTTTCTGAAATTACATTTAACCTGTTTTAATATTGTTTTCCATTCAACAATTGCATTTATTGTTCGTCTTTGTATAAATATCAAGTTTATATTTTTGTGCAGATGAGGACGAGGAGCCCCGTTGTGTGACGTTAACTCCGCGACATAAAGCTGCAATCCGATTCATAAGGAAGGTACGTACATACTATGGAGCCTTTTTGAATTAAGCTAATGTATATCTATATATTAAATGTTTGTATGATGCAATGCGAGTCAATACTACCGAAACATTCTAACTTTGATATAACAACGTAAACATGTCTTCATAAAGATCAGGTTATATATCTTCATGTGCAATATTCTTACAGCCGTGTACATCTGCGTTCTTGTGTGATGAACGCTGTGCTACGCTAACTCTGCCTCGCTCCTGCGTACATTTAATAGCAGGCAACCCTTATAGGCGGCCACTTATTAATAGGCAACCCTACACTATCGTATAGGGAAAGAATTTGCTGTAAATTGTCATATGATTCATTAAAATAAACACCTGTTTACACACCTCGTTGCCTAGAGCTTGCGGCCGAATAAAATGCAACAAAACTTTTTAAGTTCTTTGTATAAACTTCTTTGATAAGATAGATTTCTTTTTCTAAAAACAGGTGAATAAAATAGTTCGTAAAAATTCATGAAATAATTTTGATAAAAATACTTGCGGCCAAATTTTGATTGACAACTCGGAAAAAAGTATTACTCTATTATCAATAGTTCATAAGAATTGTATTACTATTTAAAAAGATGGCCGTAGTAAAAACGCGGTGGGATCTCGGACTATAAGCAATAATAATGAATAACACGAAGTTATTAAATCATACATACTTGGCATCTATAATACTTGTATGTAATATTTGAACAACTCGTATCTATTAAAAAATAAAACTGACGAGACGAGCAGAGAAAAATTATAATATTTTTATAACTAGTTGCATTTTACTTATTTATTTAAACTTAATTGTAACACACCTTAAACAAAGGGCTACAAGAGGCGGACTTAATATTTAACTTGAATGTATTTTATAAATTTAAAAATAAAGCGAATCCTATATGTAATGTAATAAACATTTATACATATTATAAGCATCCGCCGATTTTTTACTGTGCCATTTTTATTAACTCTAAAAGTCAGAAAAAGGATCAGAAGAGTATGATTTACTGCCCATAAAGAAGCTTTAATCTACTTCACAAACACTGAGGAGGAGAGACACAATTGTTTTTTCAATTTTTCTGAATTTAATAATGCATGTAAATCCATAGAATATATTGCAATTATATGACAAAAATGAAATTTTGATGAATGAATATATATTTTTAAAATGCTTATCGTAAACCACACAATTAACACATTTTTTTTTAATTGAAACCGTTCTGTTACGTTAAATGTTGGTTGTCATGGAAATTAAACACAGCTTCTAAATAATATCACAAATTAGGTACATAGATTTAATGTTGTCTTACTTTTGGTATTTAAATGTTTTGTAGTACTGATAAATTTAGTTTTGCAGAAGAACGCAAAATCTCTACACTCACACTATATCTATCTATTAAAAAAGCAATTGAGCGTAATCACGGCTGCAAAGTCTTTGGCAAAGATCTGTCTGCCATAAGAGCTAACTGTCGAATTTGAAGACCGATTATGGAAGTGTCATTTCCTTCTACTGTTCACATCATGTTTAAAAAAATACACAAGTAGGAGTGACGACCAAATATGGATTTTCATCCACACTATTCCTTTTATATCCCGGACCTCAGTCTGAACGAGATTAAAATAGCTCTCCAACCCCTTCAAAGTATCAAGACTCCAGGCGAAGATGGAACTACAGAGAAGCTTGTGAAAACAAGTGGGAAAACCAGTACTTTAAATCCTTTAGAAACTTTTTAATTACGTCCCCAGAGTAGTGCCACCATGTATGTGCGGTGATCTTGTTCTTCGAGATAGGCGACAATGCTCTATCGAAGAACTACAGGCCGATTTCCCATTCGAGCTGCGTCTACGTGCTGTTTTCGAGAGACATTTTGAATTTTAAAGATAAAAAGGACAAAATGTTTTAATTAATTTATCCTCACCATTTGCCTATGTTACTTATTCTGAATCTTCTCTGCATTTGGCCGGTTATTGCAAAATAACCCTGTATATTGTTGCATATTTTTTGTTAGGTATGTTTTCCCGTGCCGTGCCGTTGCCGTGTAGTGGCGGTTAAGAATATCCACTACCCCATATCTTCCCGTGGGTGTCGTAAAAGGCGACAAAGGGAAACAGGCAGGAGATGGGCAGCAGCATCTTCCTGATAATAGCCAAAATAACAATAAAAAAACTGCGGTTGCCAACCCGCTCGCCAAGCGTGGCAACTATGGCAATATACCCCCCATGAGCAATGACAATAATAAACGGCCCCCAGTCCCCGGCGGCCCCGCTATTCCTGGCTACGGTGGCGACCATGGTAACGGCGGGGCAGGGGGTGCTAAGAATCTCCGGTGGAGGTTCGGTTGCCACATACGACGACTCGACCTGGCAACATACAACGCACGCACCCTGAGGACTGACGAGAAGATTGTGGAGCTGGAAGAAGAGATAGACAAGTTACGCTGGCATATTATAGGATTATCCGAAGTCCGAAGAGAGGGGGAGGACACGGTAATCCTCGAATCCGGCAACTTGCTCTATTACCGGGAGGGCGACCATCTGTCCCAAGGAGGTGTCGGATTTATCGTCCACAAGTATCTCGTTAACAACGTTGTAAAGATTGAGAGTGTGTCGACGAGGGTTGCGTACCTTATACTCAGAATCACCAAACGGTATTCGCTGAAGGTCATACAGGTTTACGCACCAACCTCGGCACACCCCGATCAGGAGGTGGAGGAAATGTATGAGGATATCTCTAGAGCCATGCATTCCTCCAAAACCCAATATACGGTGTTAATGGGAGACTTCAATGCAAAACTAGGCACAAGAGAGAACGGTGAGCTGAAAGTAGGGAAATTTGGAATAGGGCAACGGAACCCAAGGGGCCAGCAGCTGGCCGACTTCATGGAGAAAGAGGGACTCTTTATGATGAACTCTTTCTTCCAGAAGCGGCCCCACAGGAAGTGGACCTGGTCGAGCCCCGACGGTTCGACAAAAAATGAGATTGACTTCATTATGACGACCAGACGACAACTGTTCAGTGATGTCTCAGTGATCGCGAGGGTGAAAACCGGCAGCGATCACCGAATGGTTAGAGGCACACTGAACCTAAACGTTAAGTTGGAGAGGTCTCGTCTAATGAAGTCAACGCTCCGTCCCCCTCGTGCTCTTTTCCAAAGTCCCGAAACCTTTCAGCTCGAGTTAGAAAACCGTTTTCAGTGCCTAGAAGACTGCAATGAAGTGGACGATTTGAATGACAAGCTCGTGGAAACTGTCCATGCGGTCGGAGCTAAGTTCTGCAAGACCCGCCGCAGAAGAACACAAAAACTCTCCGATCACACTCTTAATCTCATGGCTGTTAGACGGGAGATGAAGCTACATTCTTCAACAGATGTAACAGCATACAGGCAACTGAACAGACAGATCTCCAAATGCATGCGGCGGGACTTACGCAAATTCAATACAGCTCGTATTGAAGAAGCGATCGAGCGGAACCGAGGCTCCAAAGTCTTTGCCAGAGATCTGTCTGCCAGAAAGCGCCAACTGTCAAAGCTGAAGACAGAATGTGGCAGCATCGTTTCCGGGGCACCTGAGATTTTGAGTGAGATTGAGAGGTTCTATGGGCAGCTGTACACGTCATCGTTGGAGCCACACGCAAGTGTGAGTAACGATCCAAGAGCGAGTCTTATCCGACATTATTCCGATGATATCCCGGACGTCAGTCTGAGCGAGATTAGAATGGCTCTCCAGCACCTTAAAAACGGCAAGGCCCCAGGCGAGGATGGAATTACAGCGGAGCTTCTGAAAGCGGGTGGAAGACCGGTACTTGAAGTCCTTCAGAAGCTCTTTAATTCCGTCCTCCATGGTGGCATTACACCGGAGGCGTGGAGCAGAAGTGCGGTGGTCTTGTTCTTCAAGAAAGGCGACAACGCTCTCTTGAAGAACTACAGACCGATTTCCCTTCTGAGCCGCGTCTACGTGCTGTTTTCGAGAGTCATTACGAATCGTCTCGCGCGCAGACTTGACGACTTCCAGCCTCCCGAACAAGCCGGTTTCCGAAAAGGCTTTAGCACCATAGACCACATACATACCCTTCGGCAAATTGTGCAGAAGTCCGAGGAGTACAATTTGCCACTATGTCTGGCGTATGTGGACTATGAGAAAGCCTTTGATTCCGTCGAAATTTGGGCGGTGCTGCAGTCCCTTCAGCGATGCCAAGTTGACTGTCGGTATATCGAAGTGTTGAAGTGCTTGTACAGTAGGGCTACGATGGCTATCCGAGTACAGAACCAGAGTACGAAACCTATCCAATTGCAGAGAGGTGTAAGACAGGGTGACGTCATATCCCCGAAACTCTTTACCGCTGCATTGGAAGATGTTTTCAAGCTTCTGGACTGGAAAGGATACGGTATCAACATCAATGGCGAGTACATCACTCACCTTCGATTTGCCGACGATATAGTCCTTATGGCAGAATCGCTGGAGGACCTAAGCACTATGCTCAATGACCTCAATAGTGTTTCCCAACGGATAGGTCTTAAGATGAACATGGACAAAACAAAGATCATGTTTAATGTCCATGTCACACCTATGCCGGTAGTTGTTGGGAACACTAAGCTCGAAGTTGTTGACGAGTATGTTTACCTGGGACAAATAGTCCGACTAGGTAAGTCCAACTTCGACCGAGAGGTCAATCGACGGATTCAACTCGGTTGGGCAGCGTTCGGGAAATTACGGCACATCTTCTCGTCAGGTATACCTCAAACCTTGAAAACGAGACTGTACACCCAGTGCGTGTTGCCAGTGATGACATACGGAACTGAGACGTGGTCCTTCACTGCTGGCCGGATGAGGAAGCTCAAGGTCGCTCAGCGAGCTATGGAGAGGGCTATGCTCGGAGTTTCTCTGCGTGATAAACTCAGAAATGAGGATATCCGCAGTAGAACTGGAGTGACCGACATAGCCCAACGGATTAGTAAGCTGAAGTGGCAATGGGCCGGCCATATAGCTCGAAGAACCGACAACCGATGGGGAAGAAAGGTTCTCGAGTGGCAGCCTCGTACCGGCAGGCGAAGTGTAGGGCGTCCCCCCACTAGATGGAGTGACGACCTGGTAAGATATGCAGGAAGTCGATGGATGCAGGTGGCTCAGGACCGTGCTTTGTGGCATTCTTTGGGGGAGGCCTATGTTCAGCAGTGGACTTGTGAAGGGCTGTAATGATGATGATGATGTTTTCCCGTGCAAGGGAGGCAAAGGCAACTTAGCTTATACAGCTTTGAACGTGACTAAAATGCTTTTATATAATTTTGTGATAAATTCATGTGTATATGTTCACTTTATTTTATTTTTGTGTAAAACTACTACTTATATATTATGGCTGACATATATATTTACAATGCGCAAGCAGACTCGACGACTTCAAGCCTGCCAAACAAGATGGTTTTCGAAAAGGCTTTAGTACTATAGACTACATACGTATTCTTCGGATAACTGCAGAAGACCAAAGAGTATAATCTAATAAGAAAACCTTTCAGGTTGACTGTCGGTATATTGAAATGCTGTAGCATTTGTACAGTAGACATACGACCTTTCCCAAAAAAAAAACCATAGCACAAAATCTATCCAACTGCATGAGCGGTGTAACACAGAGTAACTTTATATCTCAGAAACTCTTCACCACTGTATTGACGACGACGTTTTGAAGCTATTGGACTGGAAAAGAAGAAACGAAGAACGGTATTTACTTTGACGGTTATTAGATCACTCATCTTTGATTTGTCGACAGTATAAACATAGTATGAGCAGAATCACTAAAGGACCTCAGCACTATTTTCAAGACGCCGTCCTTCACTGTTGGCCGTACAGAAAGCTCTAGGTCGCTCAACGAATGATGGAAAGAGCTATGCTCGGAGTTTTTCTACGTGAAAGATTTCGAAATAAAGATGTTTGCAGTAGAACCAGAGTAACCGACATAGCCCAACGGGTCATAAATCTGACGTGGCAAAGAGCCGGTCATATAGCTCGAAGAACCGTCAACCCATGGCGTTGAAACATTATCGAGTGGCTGCCTTGTACCAGTAAACTAAGTGTAGAAAGAACCCCTTTAGATGAAATGACGTAAGAAATACAGAAAGTCGATGGATGTAGGTGGCTCAAGAGCCTGGTTTTTGGCGTTATTATTGCTATTTCTTCTAACAGTTAAAATATCGAAATTTGTGCCTTGTGAATTTAATTTAGATTAATCAATTAAATTCCTCCGTAGCTATTGGTGAAACAATAAAGTTATTAATTCCCAGATTATGTTGGCATAAGATGTTTAATTTTAATCTAAAGAAGGCCTTACTAAATTGTAGTTGTGTGTAGTGTAGAGATACGCGTGTTTGTGTGAGTATTTACAGGTTTAACTACATTTAGCTATGTAGTGAAATAACATAATTTTCATTTACTACAATGAGTTTAAAGTTACAGCCTATCCATACATTTTGAACTATACAGTTTATACTATAACTACTACTAGAACTATATAGTTTTCTGAAAAGGTTTTAAGGCAAGGAAGTGTCCGACGCGCAACCCCAATGCGTGTTGGCGAACTTCACATGTCTTCGAAATATTTTTTTCTTATTCCTCAGACATGCAGTTTTCCTTACGATGTTTCAGCACTTAAAATTGCAATTAAGAATTTCATTTGTGCCAGCGGGTAACGAACCCGGTTTGCTCACGTACTGTGAAATTTACGGCGGGCGCTAACCACGGTATCTGAGCTAACAATGAGTTTATTTACATTTAAATCACTTTACACAAATTGATATTATCGTATGAAAATGATACAACCTTGCGATCATTTAACGGCTCTAAATTAAGCAATATGACATTAAAAAAAAACAAGATTACATGTTACAATCCAACTTACGCTCTATCATTGTCCGTGTACTCTCCATTGTCGTACGGTATTCAATTATAATTTTTGACTCTCGATCACACGCACACTAAAACAATATGCATGTACACCACCTACACTTACAAGTAAGACCAACCAACCATCGTAAGATAATAATAACACTGAGTACTGTTTTACTGTGAAAACAGTACTCAGTGTTATTCTACTTTGTTGAAATTGGTTCTTTAAGCTATACCCAATACAAATCAAACAAGTTATCTCATATTTCATTTAGTAAACAATTATCTGTATAAGATAGTTCTTTTATTTCAGACGTAGATTAAAAGATTACTTAATTCTTATAAGCATATATTATGACCTTAATTTATTATGTGTAGTGTTTTATGACCTTTAGTAAATTATTTATGATCAGATTCGCCTTATGTAGTTACGTAAGGTAAGATAGATAAGTAAGAATAGATATGTAGAAGACGTAAGGTAGTTCTGATAGATACGTAGGGTATTTTATATTATCAGTTTATATAATATTGAAAAAATATTTGCATGTTGTAAGTATTTATGTTCTACGAGAGCGATCCAGCCCGGTTCCGCCGAGTGGTCCAACTATAGTTGAAAACTATCCAGGTGACCCCATAAGTACCCCATAAAAACTTCATCAAAATCGATCAATTGGTTTAGGAGGAGAAGAATTACGAACACATGCAAACCGGAATTTTATACATAAAGATAATTATACAAAATAAACTATGAAATAATATGCATATATACGCAAAAAGTTTGGCTATTCCGCAAATCTTGTAATTGACTTACTAATGTATTTTGATTAATAATGTATTGCGATGTCTTTCGCTGTATATTATTATGATAACCACGCTCAAAACCAAAAGAATTTTGAACCAAAAGGACTGGCAAAATAAAAAAGACGAATATAGGCAGATATAACAGAAAAATAACGCCTTCGGAATACCTGATTATTTTATAAAGGGTTTTTCAATAAGGACATAACAGTTTTTGTATTTAAAGAAAGCACAGAATAATTGAGATATCGGGCTGAAATTTATTCCAGATGCAGTACACATGTTACAATTATGTATCGAATTCGACGTCGTTCATATGACCACCACGAGCACGACGGCAGTGATCGATTCTTTGGATCCAATTTTCTTTCTTCTCTTTCACACATATCAGCTGGAATGTTGCGTTCGATATTGTACTTGAGCTCCTATAACATTGTCGAATTGTTGGTATATACCTTTGACTTAAGATAACCCCATAACGGCGTGAAATTGCATGAGCGAGGTGGCCATTCGACTGAACCATTTCCCAAAATATTCCTTTCAATAAATCAATTGTTTGACCAGCTGTGTGGATTGTGGCACCACCTTGTTGGAAGCACATATCGTTGATGTCAAATTCATCCAATTCTGGCCAAAAATAGTCTTCCAACATGGCACGATAGTGAACTCCATTTACTATTATAACATGGTGATTATTTTCATCGAAGAAAAAATACGGCCCTATCACACCTCTGACATGAAACCCACACCACACGCTCACATTTTGAAGATACCACGTAGTCTCCTGAGGCACATGTAGGTTTGTTGCTGTCCAATAATGAATATTCTGCTTATTGATAAAGCCATTCAGTCAAAAATAAGCTTCATCGCTAAAGTTAATTTTTCGATGAAATTTAGGATTCCCTCCAAACTTTTGCAGAATAAAATCGAATAAGTTTCGGCGCTTTGAATGATCCTAAGGTTTCAGTTCTTGAGTTGATTTGATCTTGTAAGGGTGTAGCTAGAGATCTTTATGCAAAATTTGCCATGATGCAGACTGAGAAATTCCCAATTCTTGTGAACTGCGTGGAATCGACTCGTTTGGTTCATTTTGAACTGGAGCTCTTACGGCTGCAATATACTCGTTCAGTATTTTGACCATAGTGTTGTCTTACTGACACAGGAACATTCAATAGTGAATATGTTGACATCAAATTTGTTCACCATCGCACGCGCAGCTTGTCTGGTGGGACGATTAATGCGACCAAAATTGGAGTACTATTGAAGACTCTTAAAGTTGTGACTACCGACTCAGAATTTCGGTGGTAAGTTTTAACGATTTCCAAACATTGCTCATCCGTGAACTTCACCATGATAATAATGTAAGCCTCGACTGACGTTTTGACTTTGACATAAAAAAGTTTATAAGTTCTATTCTGTATTATAAAACAAAATTATTATGTCCGTGTTGAAAAACCCCGTAGAAAGCTTAAAATATGTTGCGCGGATAATTTTTATGTAAATCAATAATAATTCCAAAATTTCACTTTTAATGGGTCAGTAGCCTAATGGCGAACTCGAAAGGTAGTGGGTTCAAATCCGCCATTCGACTACTGTCGTGAATCACTTCTAACACAAGCATTTTTAAGCTTACCAGAAGTAGTTAACGGGAATATTAGTAATGTTTAATAGCATTACCAGTATTTTTATATAAAAAAATGACAAGTGATGTTAAATACATTATTACTTTGTACATGCATATACTTATTCCTCTCATCTATTCTCTTGTGGAATCCTAACAGATGAAGTATTTTGTGGCTCGACGCAAGTTTAAAGAAGCGCTAAAGCCATACGACGTAAAGGATGTAATAGAACAGTATTCTGCGGGCCACGTGGACCTGTTGGGGCGAGTGAAAAACGTCCAAACTAGGTAGTACCTAGCCCGAGACATCAGTACGCCTTGCACTTGCCATTTATCTACCTTACATTCTTCATACATTTCTCTCGTTTGATCTTTATAACACCTACTGTGTCTTGTTCAGTTATCTTTGTAGTCGAGTTTGGCTTCAAATCTAATACCTACTTTATTATACATAATACTCAGTAGTTACGTGTAGTGTGTGTATTGCTATCTTTACTTTTCAACATACATTCAATGACACATGATAATTTTAGATTTAGACTCTTTCTCTACTTCACTTCATATCTGTGATAAAGTAGTCAGCTCTCTGTAGGGTAACTTTTAGTTAAAGTTATATTATGAAACAATAGTAGCAGATAAACATTTTAACTGTCATGTAACAAACACATTGGGAATATAAAGTGAAATGAAAATCTAAAACAATACTTGCGGCTAAACGACATACATACATTAAAGATACATTTAATTTTTCTTTCAATTAACGGTCGATGTAAATTTAAGAATGAATTCTTTTCTTCGAAATTATTCAACGGCGATATTGATATTACGTAATTATTGTATATCTAACAACCTGAAGCAGTATAACCGATGCTTGCCAGCTAACACAAATAGAAAGAGAAATAATATATATTTTAAACGGCTTCCATGATTTTAAAGCAGGGTTGCTTGCGCTTGCATTGAAATTTGATGTTACACCATATTATGAGATGTTCTTAATATATAGTTTATAATCGTAGTTGTCAAAGTTGTTACAAAGTATACACATTAACGTTATACGTATTATATATGGTTTTATGTTTTATATGTAAAATAACAGGTTATAATATTAATATTCCTATAACATTTCTTATTGATAATGATAGTGTAATTGAGAAACCAAACTTTGTTAGAATTCTCCTTGGTTACTTCTCATCAAATATATGTCATTTAAAATAAAGTATAGTTGATAATGTGATAATCGGGCAGTTTTTTTATTCATTCCACAACTTATAATAAGAGGGCATTAATACAAGTTGATACGTACGCTATCAGGATGTATTTTATTTCCGTATAGCTCAAGTATTTTGTCGCGCGCAAGAGATTTAGAGAAGCATTGAAACCTTACGACGTGAAAGATGTGATAGAACAGTACTCCTCCGGGCACGCCGATCTGCTAAACCGAACCAAGAACCTGCAGTACAGGTGAGGTGTCCCTATATAGAGTAATGGACGCGTGTCCAGCACCATCGGGCCTCGCTGCAGTCGCTTCATTCACCGCTCATTAGTTTGTCCCAGAATCTTTGTTAAAACGCTGATCATTTATCATTATGATAAATTAAATATTATAAGACAATCATTTTTGAAGTTCTTACACGAGTCAAAAAAATAACATTTAAAATTTTATAAGTCAGCTAATTTCTACTAAATGTCATATTTAAATAAGGTTTATATACATCATATATTCAAAATTAATTTAAAAATTATTATAAATAACGGTTAAATAAGCTTTTTGAAATTAATTTATTGTCGTAATTTTTACTTAATTGATTTTTATCACATAATATCTACTAAAAATAATAAAATTAAAACTAAAATTAAAACCTAATTTATTTGACATGATAAATTAAATTCTCTTATTAAAAATATGCAAAAACAAAAAAATAAATAGGTTCGATGTTAAATGATATCATATAGGTCTCTGTAAAGTGTACGCGTATTCTTATAATATATCAAGAGATTTTCTGTGATAAAAACAATTTACTTTTGTGTTGTTTGCTTCTTTTGTACTACAGATAAGCTCACGTGAAGTAATAAACTAGTTATTTGTTATTCGCTTTTCACATTATTGTATTTATAATGTGAATGATAAAAAAAAGTGAAACTCCATCTTCATCCATAACTAATGTGCTTAAATCATACATCATTATAGCAATAAATAGTACATGTACCTGTAGCTTATACCATAACAGATGTATCTAAAAATTAAAATATCTATTATATAACTTTATCACATTTTTTTTCCTATCACTTTCTAACGTTATAAAAAATTGAAATAATCATTAAGTACTTAGGTACTTTTTTAACTAATTAACTGCTATATATAATACTGACATGAAAAATGTATATCCACCTAAATTATTGTAAATATATGATAAATGTAGTTTTTATTTTATGAAAATATTAAAATAATATATAATTAATTCAGAAAACAAACAAATTAGTGGACTAAGCTTCTTTATATTAAACTTGTCTCGCATTCCTTTTTATTGTTTGTAAGATTTGAAATATTATTATAAAATTAAAAGAAATATTAATTCGCTCTTTTCTATGAAATTAAGAAGTTATTATATATAACACTGTGTTCTTGTTAATAGCCTACCTCATTAACAGTTCTTTATTTTATTTTTAGTAAAAATTAATATAACTCTGGAAACGTTACAGATATTTACAAATATATTTAATAATATATTGTGAATCATTGTAAACGCTGATAGCTTTGCAAGCGACTGTGACACAATTTCCCATAACATAAGCAACGTAGAGAGCACTTGACTGCAAGAACTTTGAACTTTTATAATAATTGTCCCCCACACTCCATTTAATACATATCTGAAGTTTGAAAAACTTTAAATACAAAATGTTGCTAAAATAGTTGTTGCAATGTTACAAGCTTATAAGGCAATTTGTTTATTCATTATTCAAAACCTTCAAACAGGTACAATCGTATCCATAATCATGTTTTGTTAGTCATTATAAGTGTGTAGAAGGTTAGATATGTGATTGAGGTATCTATTGTATGTATGTTTGGCTTTATTGTGCACTTTAAAGAAAACCGTCGTCGAAATCTCCACTTTACTGCTTTATTCTATTTACGTTTTTCATGTAGTACAGCAACGGTTGGCGCACGGCAACCATTTCGCTTTATTTTTATTGAAGCTTTGCACGACATTTGCTTGCACTCGAATATCATCATAATTGGAACTCGTTTATGTGTGTGTGTGTGTAGTAATAAAATATCAGAATGTGTTATATTTTAAGGTCTGTTAGCAAAACAAACATGTTGTTATATTTACGTGAATACGTGGGCATTATGAACATAACGTAAAGTTTCGGATACAATTATGCGTACTTTAAATCTTTCCGATTTCTTAATTGCTGAGGGTTAAAACATCTTGCAAAAAGTTCGTAGGCAGATGTGCAATCTTGGTTCTCAGTGGTGATAACGCAGCTGTGGCCTTTTTTTTTGAAGTTGGTTGCAGTTTGACATGGGTCAGATGAACTGTTGACTCACCTTAGTAACAAAAAGTTTAGAGGTGAAAATCAAAAGAAACTCTAACAACAAATAACTTATATATTTAACTTCAGCTTATCAACTAATGTACGTAAACACTCGTGGAACATAGAACCTACTTAAATTTTTTATTATTTAAGTAGGTTCTATGTTCCACGAGATATTATATATTAGACTAATATAACTTTGGTTTTTCCAAAAATCTGGTTATTTTTCATTCATTCATTCATTACAGCATATCAAAGTCCACTTTTGAACATAGGCCTCTCCATAGAATGCCTAGTTGTAACGGCTTTCAAGCGGGTTCGCAACCACAGTTTTTTTTCTAGTTGTTTCTAGGAAGACGCTGATTTCCATCTCCTGGTTTGTTTCGCTCTTTCTCTTCTTACAACACCCCTGGGACGATTTGTGTTAGTGGATATTCTTACACCGAACGGTTATTGCATTTGGATATTTTTACATTGTACGTGTACCTACGAGTATAAAGTAAAAGCAACAGCGGCCTTTACACGAAGGCTTTGTAGCGCGCTCCGCCACTTCGGAGTCGTGGAGTTTTTTTTTTTATAGGATAGGGTGACAAACAAGCACGCAGTTCACCTGATGGTAAGTAGTTGCTGTGACCCATAGACATCTACATTTATCCTCAATAAAGATTTAAATAGCAGATGCGTCGTCACCCGTGAGGACTAAAATGGAAATTTTCCAGTAAATCGGGTCTCCGGTTCTCTACACTCACCATACGAAACACAGCAGTGTCAAGCTGCCATTTTACGCTGGTATTCTATGAGAGAGTGGTCCTTCGCCGGTCGAGCCGACCCAATCGTGCTACAACTATACTACTAATATAGCTTCAGCATGGCTTTACCACATATACGTAGTGACACAGAAGTGGCGGTATGGCGCGCGCTTCAATGTTTGTGCAAAAAAGGGCTTCGTGTTCGGCGCGTGTTGTAAGAGAGGACTATAGGAACTGACAGAAAAATCTTATGGTTTCCGATGGATCCAACACCAAAATGTTATTTAACCATAAGAATAATATTGCGAACAAAAAAAAAGCAAAAAACACATTGCCGCCATTTTTAAATTGTTTTTCCGTCAGCCAAAATGAATGAATCTAACGAAGAAATTCGATACATCCTGAAGTTTTATTACAAAAAAAGTTTATGGACGTAATGCAGTGTCAATAAGAGTAGCACAAAGTTGGTTCAAACGTTTTCAGTCCGGGAACTTTGCCCTCATACGGATAAAGTCGATGCCATTTTTGAAAAAGTGGAGCAAGATCGGCATATTAGAAGTTAAGACATAGCCGAGGAATTGAGAATTAACTACAAAACAGATTTGGCCCATTTGAAAAAGTCTGGCTATACAAAAAAGTTCGATATTTGGGTACCATACGAGCTCACTGAAAGAAACTTAATGAATTGTGTACTCTTTTGCGATTCTCTATTGTAACGTAATGAAACCGAACCATTTTTGAAAAGATTGGTCACTGGTGATGAGACGTGGATCACCTACGACAAGAACGTGCAAAAAGGATCATGGTCAAAGGGTAGTCAAGCTACACAGACTGTAGCGAAACCCGGATTAACACGCAATAATGTGATGCTAGAGCCGTGGTAGCTCAGATGGTTAGCGCTCGCTGTAAGCTTCACAGTACTCGAGCAACCCGGGTTCGATCCCGCCGGCACCAATGAAATTGTTAATTGCAATTTTAAGTGCTGATTTACCACGTGCTCGG